GCCATATGAGCAAATGATTTCTCTCTCTCTGTTCCTTTTTTTTTTTTTTTTTTTTTTTTTTTTTTTTTTTTTTTTTTTTTTTTTTCTCTCTTTTTTTTTTTTTTTTTTTTTTTTTTTTTTTTTTTTTTCTCTTTCTCTTTTCCTGCTTTCTCTCATTTTATTGGAATTTACTGGAATGTGTAAAGTCATTAAAGAAACTTATAAATATGGAATGAAGAAAGAAAAGTAAAGTGACTGGCGTTTTTTTGTAAATATCAAGTACAAAAGAAAAAGGTGTGAACGTGGGAGAGAGGAGTTAAAAGGAGAAGGATGACACCCGTATAAATTTATTTAAAAAGTGTGACTTGTTAATAAATGAGTTTGTTTTTAAAAATTTAAGCTGACACATATCAAAAGGGTAAGGTAATATCTAAAAAAGAATCTGTATTAGAGTCTGGGTTTAACATTTTTCAAATAGAGAATTTACAATAAATATCAGATTTGTAAAAGGATGGTTTTATATGCACCCTCCTTTTATACTCCACACCCCATAGATTAAAAATTTCTATTTACAACCCTTAAATAAAAATGACAAAAAAAATAATAGATTGAATTATATAATTAAATTTTATTACAAAAGGAAAATTAATAATAGAAGGTCCTTTTTTTTTCCCTCTCCACACACCCCCTAATATCATATTGGCAAATTATAAATGATTTCTATTTCAAAAATCTATAGGAAAATCCTAATTTCTACCATTCAATCACTATTCTAAAAAATTACATGGGTGCATATTAAATTTTCTTTAGTATTCTTTTTCGTTTTATTAAATTATATGTTAAATTTTCTTTGCTATTGTTTCCTAGTTCAAGAAAATTCTTATGTAGATACCGCATTTTCACAAATATATTGGCACGTTACTAGAAGATATTTAAAATAAAAGAAGAATGGGATAAATTTATCTCCAGTTGGAACAAGTTGGTCTTATCTTCTGACGAGCATGAATATGTGCAAAACCTTAGTGCATTACAAAGATAAAAAGGGATGTGAAGAGTAAAAAGGTGGAGGTAGAAATAAAAGACGGGGGTGTAAATAAAATTATTCTTAATAGTTAAGGGTAATTTTAGAATAATAAGAGTGTGTAAAAAAAATTTAATCATTTTAAAATCGTGCAGTATCTAGTTAGAAGAGAGTGTGAATAGGGGTGGCAATTCGTGTCACGTGTCGTGTTTTGATCATTTTTTTAATTTGCAGTCAACCCAAACACGACCCGTGACACGAAATTTTTTAAAAACCGCAACACGACCACTTTATGAGTTGACACGACACGACCCGAAAATGACCCGTGACACGAAATTGACTCGTGAATCCGAAATTGACACAAAAATTGTATACTTTTATTTAGTTTTTTACATATTAGAAATAACTTAAAATTCATAACACACTAATTACAATAACATCCATTGAAATTAAGCAAATAATAATATAAGATTTTGAGTATAACTATCTAATATCATAAGTTCATAATAAAATTTAAAATATAAAATGAAAAATATATGTATTTTTTAGTTTTTTATGAATTTCGTGTCGTGTTCGGGTTAGGCGGGTCCAACCCAAAATTGACCAGTGTTTTTCGTGTCAATTTCAGGTCGACCCGAACCTCTTTTTTTCTCAACCCTAACCTGTAAAATTCGTATCATTTTCGAGTCGTGTCATGACCCATATTGCCGGCCCTAAGTGTGAAGGGTAAAAATAGGGGTGCATATAGAACCACCCTTCGTAAAAATATTGTTAATAAAAAGCATTTTTGAAACTAATTGAAGTATATTGCATTTTTCTTATCAATAGAAAAAAAAATCAATTACACATAAACTCTCTTTTGTCTCGCTTATTCTCTATTTTCTCACGTTTGCTCTCTCATCCTCTTTCGCTCTCCTTGCTTCATGTGTTATTGTGTAGCTTTCTCCATCCACGACTACTCGTTGTGTGTGATAGCGCGACCTCATCATCGAGAAATATGGACAAAATTGGAGAAATCGCGAGAAACAATCCTAACATTGTAAAGTTACAGTTAGGTCGTGAAGGTTCTTGTGATTTCCTTCACCGTCAAATAAAGAAATAAAGAGGAAAAAATTTTGTGACTACCGGGAATATTTTGGGTTTTTCAGTTGCTTGTAAAATCAAATTTATCCCTTAATGATCTTTTTATACATTTTGTTTTAGGTTTACTCAGGAAATACAAATGCATACCTTAAAATTACATTTAATTAGAGAAATTTGTACTTTTTGCAGTCAATGCCCAATTTTTACCTTTGAAATTAATAAATTAATCATAGCGGGGTGATCTAATAATATATGTTTAGAGCAATAAAAAACTAAAGGTCACTACCACTAAAGTTAATTTGGTAATCTCAAAAGTCAATATAGAGTATTGAATGACCAAAGGTACAAATTTGCCTAATAAACATGATGTGATGGTATACATTTACAGTAATAAAAAGTCAATAGCATATTTTCTTTTTTGGAATAAACCTAAAATATAAAGTACGAAAGACGAATAACCAAAATGTTATCTATCTCATCTTCACAAAACTCCTGTCATTATTTTTTGGAAAATGCTTGATACCACGAATTTACAAAACACGAAATGCTTGTTCGGTTATGGTAATATATCTCGAAGGTCCACGTCAGCTTTTTATAAAGTTAAAAAGTAAGGGTGTATTCCGCTGTCAAAAAATTAAAAAAAAAATAACTCGAGTTTTAATTTTATTTAAGTTGATGTTCTTTTAAGTTTAAATTTAAATTTAAACTCGAGTTTGAACTTGAATTTAAGACTAAAACTCGAATTTAAATGTTCCTTTCAACTCGAGTTCAGAAACTCAAACTCAAATTAATGAATAGTATTTTTTCTATTTTTAAAAATGTTAATAACTTTTTCGTTTTACTTCTGATTGAGATAATTTTTTTTCTATGCGTTGACAACGAAAAGACGTATAAAATCTCACCCATATACCCTATTAAAATTTTTCATTACCATTGAGTTTTTATTAAAATACTATTTAAATATAAATTTAAGTTTTGACTCACTCAAACACAAACTCAAAAAAAGATTATTATCTCAAACCATAACTAATGTACACAACCAAACACAAACTCTCGTTCACTTCGCTGATTCGAGTTTAAAATTTGAGTTGAGATGTGATTTTATGTGAGAGCTTTTTACTGTAACAAAAAAGTTAGATGTGATTGTTTGTGAGAGCTTTTTACTGTAAAAAAGCTCAAATTCTAAACTCGAATCAGCGAAGTGAACGAGACCTTACAACTTCAATTTAAGTTATAACTTAAATTCAACTAAAAAATTATACTCAAGTCATACTCTAAAAAAACAAGCCCTAAAACAATAAAAATTCACGAACTATTTCTTGTCGTTCTTTTCTTTCTTTGCTCTGCCTTTTTCTTACACCTTACTCATCCTCTTCAAGTTATCAATTCGGTACTACATCTATATGAAGATCTTGTCCTTCTTATACCACAGTCTTCTCAAGTTTTTTTCTTTTTCTTTCTTTTTTCTTTCTGGGCGACTTTGATGAAATTTGGTTGGCTTCTTTGTTTCATCGAAATTTTAATAGCAAATTGTCCAAAATCTTCAAAAATACATGAAACCCATAAGTCTCACTGAAAAAGGCAGGAAAATGAACAGTGTATATGCATCGAGGATTGCAATTTATGAACAAAAGATAAAAATTTTTCAAAGGGTTTGACCAGTGTCAACCTGCAAGATCCCAAACCTGCAAAATCGAATGATTTCCGGCATGTATTTGAAAGATTTACCATCAGATACGAAGGGATTCTTTTTAATTTTCCATGCGATTTTTCCAGCATTCTGGGTATGATTTTCTCTGCATTTCGTCATAATTCCCTCTGGTTTTGGTTCTGATTTTTCTGGATTGGGTGGGTGAGTTTCTTCCACAACCAAGAACAAGTAAAAGGAAATTACAAAAAGAAACTAATAATAAAGAAAGGAAAAAATGCCGCCTGTAGTGAGGAAATCAAATTAAATGGCAAGGATTGGACTTTTTGGTAATTTCGTATTAGTAGAATGTATGTCCAACCACGTGTCATAACCTTAGGAATTCGTGTTATGAATCACGAAATGGATGTTTGAACCATATATTTTTATTCTTAATTTACGTGTATTTTTTAAGAAAAAATATTATAACAAATTATCAATCATAATTTAAATTATGATATAAATTCTCATACCAAGTATCTTAGAAATTTCTTGCGTGAAGTGTAGACGAACTCTTAGAGTGCGTTTAGTTGGTATATTCGTGTCATAATTTAAATTATAATTCGTAGTTTGTTATAATATTTTCTCTTATAAAAAACACACGTAAATTAAAAATGACTCTGAATCATAATTTTAAATGCATGAACTAAGGAGCGATTGGTTCATGGATTAGAATCATGTGATTAAAATAATTTTCGATTTACGTATATTTTTTGTGAGAGAAAACACTGTAGCGAACCATGAACCATGATTAAAATCATAAAATTTGCCTCGTTCATTTCACCGATTCGAGTTTTCAGTTTTAAGTTTCTACAGTAAAAAGTTTTCAGAAAATGTCACATCTAACTTTTTTTGCTACAGTGTAAAGCTCTCAGAAAATATCACATCTCAGCTCAAATTGAAAACTCAAATTTGCGAAGTGAACGAGACCTTCAACCAAACATCCCAAATGTCTACTTATTTTTTACTCCGCTTTTGCATTATTCTATTTCCCAAATTATCCTTTTTCTTCTTGTTGTTTTTTTTTGGAAAAAAATTTATTCGACCTATTAATTTCACTAATTTGAGTTTAGAATTCGAGTTTTACTATAGTAAAAAATTTTCAGAAATAATCACATCTAATTTTTTTACTATAATAAAAATTCTCACATAAAATTACATCTTAATTCGAATTAAATATTTAAATCAGCGCGGTCCATTCTTTTTCTCTTTTTTTTGGCGGCGCCACATACCACGTGCCATCGTTTCACGTGTGTTTGCACAGCTTGGCTTACCTTTCGTCAATCGTTGAATGCCAAACCAAAACCGCTACTAACAACCACGGTTTCAATTTTCTCTTCTCTGCGGCAGCCATGGCCCTCCGATTGTGTAACCCTCTTCGTTATCCTTATTCTCTCCCTTCAATTCCCTGCAAAACCACCACAACACGCAGATTCTCACTTCGGAGCAGCTCGGTAAACGAATTTGATTCCCGCAAGGTACCGCTATTTCCCTCTGTTTGGTTGCCGAGAAAGATGGAAAAGCTTTTGAATATTAGGGTTGGATTTAGAGTACTTGTTTCTTTATTTTTAGAGAAATCTATTGCAAAATTCGCGCTTTCTCAATCGATGAAGTTTGTAAATCTCTTATGGTCTGTGGAATTTGGAAATTCTTTTCAGCTGGTTTTGGAAGTGAAAGAGAAGCTTGAGAAAGATCATTATGATCTCCCGGTGGGGAGTAATGGAAGAGATGATGAAGATATGATTCTCTGGTTCCTCAAAGATAGAAGATTTTCTGTGGAAGAAGCCATTTCCAAATTAACTAAGGCAATTGTATCCTCGACTACTTAATCATTTTAATTTTTAATTTTATTATTATTTATACTTAACTAGCTCACTGAGATATGGCCTGTCAACAGAATTGAATTGGAATAGTTTTAGGTTTTATCAATGTGAAAAGTATATTGCAGTCAAGTGAGACATTGATTTTTTTTTTTTTGGTTTTTTATAAAATTTCCCTCTTGTGTTATTATTATACTATAAAAGAATTATATAGGGTTATTGGGTGATATACCTAGATAATAATTTTTGGGAGGTGAGCTATCTCGGGACTGAATTGAACCTAAGACCTTGTCGAGAAAAATATAGGGTATGTGTGGTATATGGGTTTTTTATGGATTCAAACTTTTACAGTTTTTTTCACTCATAAAAAATTTGATTTTCAAAAGTTATAATCAAAATCACTGGTTTGAACTCTAATTTGAACCCATATACCAAACAGGCCATATGTAACCTTGCCACCCCAACGTATAATCTTGTGTTTATGTTTATTTTGCCTGTTTTGAAGAATAAATCAGGGGAATTTCTTAATGGAATTTAGGTTTTAAGTTTTTCCATAATCGACCAGTAGAAATGGCGTCAAGAATTTGGAGTGTCTGAGCTGACTGAAGATTCAGTGAAAAGTATGGCTGAAACTGGAAAATCATTTGTACATGACTTTCTTGATGTATATGACAGACCAGTGCTCGTAGTAGTGGCCTCCAAGCATCTTCCTTCGGTGAGTCGTAAACATAAATTATCAGCTCTATAAATTTATTCTTTTAATCTTCTTATCTCAGACAAATGAATAATCTCTATGCATTTCTAGTAGATTCTATGGAGTACCAATGAAATGTGTATTTGAGATTGAAAGCGTAGTAGACTAGATGTGATGATTGATTGCACAGAAGTCTTAGTCAGATTTTTTATTTTTTTGGCTATTCTTGGCATGGATAAGGATTTTGATTGGAGCATAACAACAACCTGTTGCAGGTGCATGATGCTGCTGAGAATGAGAGGCTCTGTGTGTTTTTGATTGAAAAGGCTTTAAGCAAACTACCAGAAGGGAAACAAGAAATACTCGGCATACTTGATCTTCGTGGCTTTGGCACTGAGAATGCTGATCTTCAATTCTTAACATTTTTGGTACTTTGAACAAGTCGCTTGTTCTATTTTCAGTTCTTTATAGGGTGCAATAACTTATTGTTGGTTTTCTCTTCTCTGCTTTAAACTGATTAAAGGATCATGTCATCGATTTTTGGATGTTAACTTTAGAAAAAAAGAAAATTAAAATTGTATTTCGTGTGCACGTTGTGCGCCTTCATTCTTTTGTGATTGAAGATTTCGATTTTTTGTGCTTGTACATTCTTAGTGAAACATGGCCAGTTATTCTGAAAAAAATTTGTTATTTCCAGGTCCCTTGTCTTTTTGATATTCATATAAAATACACAGATATTCAAATTAATTCCCATTGTGTGTTGGTTCTTTACTATTTGCAGTTTGATGTATTCTACGATTATTATCCCAAGAGATTGGGTCAAGTCCTCTTCGTGGAAGCTCCTTTTGTGTTCAGGCCAATCTGGGAGCTTGTCAAGCCCTTGTTAAAACATTATGCTTCTCTGGTATGTGCCCATGTTATGCATCTCTTTTCTTATTTCTTTTTTCCTGCTTTGTCCACAACTGAGCAATCTTTTATATTTCGGTATGAACTTGGGATTGCGTATTCCGTACAGCTAGTGATGTATATGACATTGTTATACGAAGAAATGATGAGAAAACTGAGCAAGGGAAAAGTGTAAATCTTCTTGTATTTCAGTTGAAGCTGGTGTTTGTTTTGTAGGTGAGATTCTGCTCTGCGGAGACCGTGCGAAAGGAGTACTTTAAAGAAGAAACATTGCCGCCCAACTTTAGAGATTGACTAGTATCAAGTTCATCACCTTTATAGAGACAAAACTGTAAATCCTGCGCATGTCGATTCATTTCATTTGTTGAGAGAGAGAGAGAGAGAGAGAGAGAGAGAGGAAACCTTGTAAGGGAAAGATACTTCCAGAAGTTGTTGAACATTCATTCATGATCATAAACAAGAAACCTCCAATCCCATTCATAGGCAAGTGCTAAAAATGAAATGGTGACATATATTATATTGTTCTACCAAAAGATGAAAAAAAAAAAAAGAGGAAAAAAGAAAGAAACAAATGATATAAAAAATTGTTCGGAGAATTCCAAAGGAAAAACAACCCACATATAGCTACTGTAAACAACGAATAAACTGATATTCACCGTCCAAAATTGAGGGAAAAGAAAAGATTTGACACAGATTTTGATATCAGTGGTATTGGGTGTCAGTTTTATTTGGCACCAGTGTTGTCGGAGTGGAAATTCACAATAATTCTCAACTTTCTTGTTGCTCGTGGGTCTAATTAGAACCATGAGATTAGAATTGGTTCATGGATTAGAATCATGAGATTAGAATTATTTTTAATTTATGTGTGTTTTTTGTGAAAGAAGATACTGTAACAAATTATAAACCATGATTCAAATTAGAGAACGAATTCTCCAACCAAACGGACTCTAAGCAATCAAGATATTTAAAAAAAAAAAAAAGTAAGGGTAAAAATGTAAATTCACGAGCAATTAATTCCTAAGAACCAGTGAGAATCAAAATTGTGAAGGCTCGTCTTCTTTCTTCTTGCTGTTAGAGAGGAAAAGCCTGCGAGGAACAAAAAAAAAAAAAAACAAAAGAGATGGAGAATTCAGTTTCTCGGAGGTTGTCAATGGCAATGGTGGGCGTGCTTTGTTTTCTGGGAGTGTGCAACGCGATCGAGTCGCCGCAGTACACAGTGGCTCACTCGGAATCGGAGTTCGAGATCAGACTCTACAAATTATAAACCATGTCTGCTTCTGTTTCAGATATCTCCTTCGCGAGAGCCACCAGAAATGGCTACCACAGGTGAACATCAATATAATCCCTCTCTTCTCTAATCTCTCTCTATATATTTCGTTTTGTTGATAGTTGACCTTCTGAGCGGTTTTGTTTTGTTCTTTTTGTTTTTTGTTTTTTGTTTTTTGTTTTTTGTTTTTTGTTTTTTGTTTTGTTTTGTTTTTTTATTATTTTTACTTACTGTTATATCTGAGAAAGTGTGATTCATGAATTTAAAAGCTCGTAAACTCATAATTTTGATTATGTTATTGTATTTTTTTTAATGAATTTTAAATGTCAAAATCAAAATCACTTATTTAAACTCATTAACTAAACGGCCCTAGGTCATGAATTGCTTTTTTTGGCCGATCAATTGGTAAAAGCTAATACCCTTCATTTATTTATTTATTTGTTTAAGTGAATTCCAACTTCTTGCATATGGGGTTTCAAGTTATATAGCGCAAAATCAAGTTCTTTTTATCTTTTATAATCAAATTACTCGGAAGCTGAAGCAATTTAAGATTGATTTTGCTCGAGTTACTTTTATTGGTTTTTCAGTCAATCATAATATAAAACTGACTTCTTTTTAGCTTCTCAAAAATCTTTAGAACTGCATTGGTTGCTATGAGATGTGATCGGTTTTGGCGTCAATCATTTTTAGGTTGTCTTATAATAATTTGTAGACAATTCAGAAGACACTCAAAAATAACTGTACCTGCTAGAACATTGTGCAAAAGCTGAAAGCATAACCCCATTGTTTTTCTCAATGATTTTCTGTTTGCAATCTCCTTCTGTAACTCAAGTGATTAACCAGTCTTGTTTTCCTTTTCATGTACATATGACCAACCATCCAGGTTGTTCCAGTATATCCAAGGTGCCAACCTGAATTTCTCTCGAATTTCGATGACAGTTCCCGTCTTAACAAGCATAGTGCCTGAGGCTGGCCCTCTCCATTCATCAGCCTACTTTGTCAGCTTCTACTTGCCACTCAAGTTCCAAGCCAATCCACCTTCTCCACTGCCTGAACTTGATCTGAAATCCCATACATGGGATAGCCACTGTGTTGCTGTGAGGAAGTTTTCGGGATTTGCAAGAGACAGGAACATCGTGAAAGAGGCGGAGAAGCTTGCCAACAGCTTGAGCAGGTCTACATGGGCAAACTCTACATCTTCCAAGAGTGGCTATGCATACTCCATTGCCCAGTACAGCTCTCCTTTCAAGTTCGTTGGTCGTGTTAATGAAGTTTGGGTGGATGTTGACTGTTCTGGATTGGAGGGCTGCAATCCCGGTTCAATAGCTACATCTGAAATTCTCTAGCAAAATGATTGGTTTGGCTTGTAATGTAATGAAAATATGGGTTGTCATCTTCTTCTCCTTATGTGTATATATAAGCAATAAGTGTATCCATCTGTATGTCAGTTGTACGGAGAATTCTACGATATCCTTATCGACAGGGTTCTGTTTTATACCAGCAAATCTTTATCACATTCTGTTAGTCAATTTTGCATACTTTTTCAATGTTATTTTGACTACCGTAGAAAGCTCCCTGTAATATTATACTACAATTTAACTTCCGGTGGGTCTTGTGTATTACTGTGCAAATAACTTTTTACTTATCTTTCTCATTTGTAGATGATTTTCTTTCCTTTCAATCAAGAATATTGCATTTTGACAAATGAGAACAAATAAGCCAAATTACTTATCAGAAAAGTAAGAGAAAAATCATACAGTATTGCATTATAACACATAATTGTCAAACCATGTCGAATAAATACCGTCTTTTCAGTATCTTCTAATTTCAACCTAAAAGAATAAATGAATTGATGTTTCACAAAAAGAATAACAATGTACATGCCAAGTAAACGTCTATTTACTTCCTTATAGCTCTAGTAAAAGAATCAGTTAGGTCTGCGTCTTGGATAAATATAGGAATGTGAAGATGTTACCAGAGCAGCACTCTTCTTGCCCAACATAGGCAGCTTGACTTGACTACGATGAACAATCAATAGAAGGCATACAAGAACAACAAATACAAAAATTGGAGAGGACATGATTTTGATGTAAGAGGTCAAAGTTCTATTCTGAGGTGTGGAAGTAGTCAACCACAGAGATTCTCCTTCCACCAGGGCAGCTCCTAGTGTCCACGAAACATCTGGAGGACCAAACCATATCTCTTTATCACCGAGCCGCAAAGCATCCTCTATGAGAGATGCCATGTAAGGGACTCGAAAACAATAATGTCCAGCGTAATATTGGTTTCCAGAAATACTGCTCTTATCAGCCCATGATCTTAAGCAGAGTCGCTGTCCTTTCTCCCAAATCTTTGTCAAGTTGGCTCGTGGACTCAAGTTCAATGTGTCGAAAACAGCAAAAAACCCAGATAAGGCATGAAACCGCAGAGTTCGGTGAGCAAAGGCCGTCAATTTGAGTATGCCACTGCCTGCAGGCCATAAGCAGAGAATCATGTAGAATTTTACAGATCTTACAACTCAATAAGTCCTGAAATATGAAATAGAATGCACTCTAATTCGATCAATGATTGTATTTGACCTATTGTTTTAGAAATGAAAAGGCAGAATTGCACCAATGAATTAAAAAAGAAAATACCAATTACATGGGAATGTTGCAACAATATGCCTATAGCGTTATTTAATATGTTTAATGCACACTAGAAACCGTTGAAAGACGCACAGGTGGTTAAGTTTCAAGAAAATATGAAGCTTCCAAGTGTATGAAGAAGGTATTTGAAAACCAATGTGGATATTACTTACCACTCACAAACGACAACCTCGATTTATCACCTTCTCCAGCTGCTGACCATGGCCAATCTAAACTGCTTGAATTCAAAGCAGCGGCTCTTGCAAGTATTTTGCATTGCTGCCAGTTTGGGGCTCCCACCAGATATAAAGAAGGATATTCTATTTTCTCCATTTGACTAGGATTTTTCCACTCAGCAGCATTTAACCCAAAACAACCACGACAAGTATAGTTCTGCACAAAATCAGAGCCATAGCAAGGATGTCTCAGCTCTAATGTACCGCCACCACTTTCTCTCAGTGCTTCGGTGTGACTAAGCAAAACAACTGTCCTATCAAAAGCCTCATTCAAGCCAAATGCCGGCAAGGAGTAAGCTAAAACCCGATGCTCAATAAAACCAAATTTCGACCTCACCAAGTGAGTGTCTTTTCCTTCACTTTCTACTTCCACCACAACTTGCAATGAAGAACCACCCAAGTCAAGAAGTGCCGAAGTGGGCGACCTTGAATGATTCCTGAACACCCCCATTTTATAATTCAGAGCAACCCAGCCATAATAAGCCTCTTCCTTCCCACTCAACACTCTTATCCAACTCCTCCTACACGAAAACGAACGTTCCTTCACAACATCCTCAACATCCTCCATAACCCGCCTTACATCCTCAACCGCTATCCTTCTTAGTCCGGCAGTAGCCAAAACAAAAATAGGAGTGGCACTATGTCGTTCAAGAGGTACCATCTGTTCTGCCCAAGTAATCAATGGTTCCAAAGATGCTCTCACACCCGAGGAATTGCCAACAAACTTATCCAAACCGGGCTCGGTTTGCATACAATGATACTTACAAGAATTCTTCAGAAGTGAACTCTTGGTTGAATTATCAGGGTAAGAATGCAACAAAATGGGCAATTCTCTCTCATTTTCACCTCTTCCCTCCCATTCATACACATTCACTCTTGTTCCTGTACTACCACAGTCCACAACCACAGTATAATATGAACCTTTAATCACTCTCCTTTGACCTTCACTGGGTTTAAACGAAAAATAGAAACCAACCAATAATAACAACCCAAATAAAAAAACAACGCTTATTTTCACTACCCTTTTGAAACGATTGAATCCCATACTACAAAACTTGTGTTTTGAAGGAGATTTGAGCTCCATAACTTCATTATCAACTTTTGACATGTCCGAATTTGGAAAATGTCTTAAAATCCCTCTTCGTCCTAAGAATTCCCTTTACAATGAACTAGATCATGTTCTAAGACACAAAAGAAAACAAAAATCATTGAAAATGAAATTTTGGCATAAATTTAGAATTTTGATTTGGATTGATCTGAACCCAACAAGCAAAAAATAGAAGAGATCGAGAAAAGCTTACTAGGTTCGACTGCGAAAGGCAAGAAATTCCATGCCGTCGAACTCAGCCGCTCTCTCTCTCTCCCTTTCTGTATTTTCTCTCTGGCGAAGAGAGCGAACAGAGGGGGGAAAAGAAAAACAAATAAATATGAAAGTGGAAGTAGTTGGTCTTTGTGATGTGAATTCGTGTTTGTTATTTATAATGCGTGTGTGTTTGGTTAGAAGATTCGTACCCTGATTCGAATTATAGTTCATGATTTTTTATAGTATTTTTTCTCATAAAAAATACACGGTTCTAATCTCATGATTATAATCCATGAACAAAACGTCTCTGATTAAGAGGAAAAGATTGCATTTTTACATTTTATTTTTAATAGTTTTTTAATTAAATAATTAGTTAAAAATACTAATTGATAATAAGGAGAAAAAATTTAGATTTATGTACTTGTAAATTAAGTAATTAATTATCAAATTAACATGTTAATGTTAAATTTTAATATGAAGAAAATAGATAGACGGTTGATTTTTGGTCACCACCGTTTTAATTTATGGCGGAACTTTCTATTTAGGAAAATGATTGAAATAACTTTTTTTTTACAATGATTAATTATATTATTTTATTATTAATGAATTATTAATTAAAATTGAATAACTATTAATTTATATTGGTTAATTAGTGATGAACCGTCAAAGCTGGAATAAATTACGAAATTAATACATCACTAATAAACTATTTCTGAAAGCAGTCATTTTCTTGATTTAACAAAACTCCAGTCATTAAAAAAAAAAAAGACATAAAAAACGACAATTCACTTTGACATCCCTTTGAATCTCTTAGTAGGAAAATTATTCTCAATGTTATTCTTAACGTTAAATTTGATACATGCTACATTTGACAATAAATTTAACGTCACCTAGAACATATGCTAAATCTTAACATTTAATTGCTATTAGTTGATGTATTTTTTTTCATTTAGACAATTACAATATTAACATTTTTTATGTTTTCATCAAAAATTTTAAAAAATAAATTAAAATTAAAATTAAAAATTTACTTTAACTATTTTTAAAGGCTAATAATTATGATAAAAATTAAGTATAACATTAAAGTAACATTATTTACATAAAGTGCAATATATATAATGAAGTACGTATGCGTTCTGTCAAGTGATACGTCGTTTGCAATGTGGTTTTAGAAAAGGACATGTCGTGTAAGATAGACAACTTGTTGTTTAATGTTTATCATTAGTGGAGAATGAGATTTTTTGTTGGTTATTAGTAAAGAGATGAGATTTGGTGAGCTTTTTGTGAGTTCATACTGAAAACTTTAAGTTAAAAAATAAATTTATATGAGAAAAAAATACTATAATAAAGATTAAATTTAAAATTTTATGAGAGAATATTGTATTAACAAATTTGAATTTGATGATTTGAATTGCAAAAAAAAAAGGACCATTATCCCTCTATTTCCTCTCTACCACCTCTGATCTCTTTAGCTAAATAAGGGAGTATTGGGCATCTCCTCCCCTGTCCCTCCTACAAAACACACTTTTCTAAAAGAAAAACAAAATAACAGAGAGAGACAAAACAACTGCGAGAAAGGTAAGCAACCACAATGGAGAACAACAGAGACGACAACCACACATCCACACTCAAGAAACGAGGGAAAAGAAGACAAATATCTCTCAGAATGCATCAATCTTAAGGGTTGTTCGTTTAGAGCAAAACTAAAAAAAAATTTAAATTTAAGTTACAATTTTATTCAAGTTTATGTTCTTTTGTAAAATTTAAGTTTGAACTTGAGTTTGTGGCTAAAATCTGAGTTCAAGTTCTCATTTCAAATCAAGTTCATAAACTCAAACTCAAGTTGATGAACATTATTTTTTCTATTTTTTTAAAAACGCCATAATTTTTTTCGTTTTAATTCCGATTGAGATGATTTATTTTTCTATGCGTTCACAACGAAAAGATGAATAAAACCCCACCCATATACCATATTAAAATTTTTCATCACCATTGAGTTTTTATTAAAATATTATTTAAATACAAATTCAAGTTTTGACCCACCTAAACACAAACTCAAATAGGTTCTCAATTCAAATCATAACTCAAATGTGCACATCCAAACACAAACTTAAATTATAACTTCGACTCAAATTATAACTCACATTCAACTTAAAATCTACACTCAAATAACTATAACTTAAAAATACAGCCGAATAAGCTTTTAGATTTTCACTCATTATTCTTAATTAATACCTTTTAGAACTATATTAGTTAAAAATATATTACCTTTTAGAACTATATTAGTTAAAAATATATTAATGAAGAATGGAAATGAAACGACAACAAAAACCCAGAAAGCCACAGTCACGAAGATAAACGACATCGTTAACCAAATTGAAAAACGACAACAATGTTTAAAAAACTTTTCAATTTTCCTTGGAAATCAAAATTAAAAAAATTCCTTTTATTCGTCTATTGGAGGGCAATTCGTACATCCTCGAACTCCCTGAGCTCTCTCTCTCTCTCTCCTCCCCCTCTCTTTCTCTCTCTTCCTTTCTTCGATCCGAAACCTCACACTCTTCAGATTACGTCGTTCTCAAACTCTCAGAGATCCCTCTCTCTCTTTCTCTCTTCTAACTTTCCCTTGCGATCTCTCCAATCCTTCTTCCGGTTTCGATCGGTTTTCTCTTTCTCTCTCCTCAAAAAAGCCCGCACAAAATTTTTTTAGGGTTTCCACGTACCCTTGAAAACCTGTTTCATCCCAGGCAAGTCATTATCCGGCGAAAGCTATTTCGATTCTTGTATTTCTTCTGTTTCTTGTGTCGATTTATGGCTTTTTGGTTCCCGAGAAAAACAGGAAGATGGCAATAAATATCAGGAACAAGAAATTGAAAAAAAAAAAAATTGCATTTATAACACGGTTTATTCTTCTAAATCCTGTTCAAGATTTTTATCATCGTCCACATGTTTTCAATCCAATTGAAATGGAGTAATGGGTTTCTCGGTGGTTTTCCGATAATTTGGGGGTTATTACGTCGTAGGATTTAAGTTATATTTATATGTATATAGCAACAAAATAAGAAGTTAATTATATATAAAAATATATATTACTGTCTTAGGTTATCCTTAGATTTGTTTCGATTGTTCTAGGAAGCTAGAGGCTAACTTATGCGTATGTTCTTAAGGTTTTACATTTGTTTGTCTAATGTCTACACACACACACACACATATATATATATATATATATTATATTTGTGTGTGTGTGTCTCAAGGCATTAATTTGGTGTACTACATATGGCGTAATAATTGGAGACTGGGAAATTTAAGCCTTGTGATCAATGCGATAGAAAATGTACTCTTTGTGGTGGTTTATTTAACTTTGTGGCGCTTAAAGATTGTCTTTGAATTTGTGATTGGTTTACAAAGTGTAGTTTCCTACTATTTGGTGCCTTATGAACTAGGGCTTCCAGTTTAATTATAAATTCCTAATTGAAAGTATTGTTTTTTAGTTATTTTATATCTGCTAATTGTCGTTGTTGTTGTTTTGTTTTCATCTTCTTATATTGAGGAAGAATTACGTGATAAAAAAAAAATTTAACGGTGCAATAAGTTGGTACACTGAAATCGGTATAAGATAACCTAGTGGGGAGAAAAGAGCTGATTGCCATTTTGTCAAACTCGGATAGCCGATAGCAAATGGGAAATGGTATTAAACATCAAGTGAGAAAGATGAAAATCAAGTTTTGATGTGTACTCAAATTCATGTTTTATGCTCTTTCATGCATCCATGTGCTTTAGATGGGTTAGTAAGTGACATCATAAGCCTTTTTATCGTTATTTCCTTCTTTCTAAAAAGTGATATGTATTTACTTTTGTAAAGATGGAATTCTAATTTCTTTGGTCTTCCCAGGTTGTCTGAAATTAGTTTGAATGACCTTGCAACGACAGTTAAAATATGACATCAAGTATGTTGTCTGGAGATCGAAGGTATAATGTGATCATTTCTTCTCAGTTTAGCTTGCTAATTGCTTAACTAGTTTAGTTAATATAACAGATATCTTAGTTGCTTGACTCTTATCGACCATGAAAAGTTGATCATCATTACTTGTATTGACGTAAAAGATATAAAGCTGAAAAGCTTGAAGTTTATAAGATTAAGCTGAATATTTAACTGCAGATGCCTTTATAATTTATATTTTACATGTTTGGTTTCGCTATGTTCATGTGTTGTGATTTAGCAACATTCTTATTTCTGTATTTTTGCCATGTTTTTGCAGGTGGGCTTCTTCGACCAGAAGAGGGGGCATGACTGTTCTGGGGAAGGTGGTTGTTCCAAAGCCTATTAACTTACCCAGTCAAAGGTATTTGGTTCTCATTTAGTTTTTCTTTAGTTTAATTAACCGGGTGGTTGGTTTTCCCTGAACTTTGTTGATTTTCCCCTTCTGTTTCAAGGTCAGAAAATCATGGTCTGGACCCTAATGTGGAAATTGTACCCAAGTGAGTAATCTCTCTCTCGTCTCTCTAACTAACTCAAATTCATGTCCATAATATATTAGTGCAATAGGTTCCATATTTGGTACTGAATTCGTGACTGATTATCCGTTGCTTGAATGGATACCTGCTTGTAGAGGTACCCTTAGCTGGGGTAGCAAATCATCTTCTGCATGGGGTTCCTCATCTCTGTCTCCAAATACTGATGGAGGTGCTAGTTCACCTAGTCATCTCAGTGGCCGCCCTTCCTCTGGAAGTGGGACTCGCCCATCAACTGCAAGCTGCGATAGAGCCTATGAACCTACCGCTAATACCTATGGTCCAAATTCTAGGCCATCATCAGCTTCTGGGGCACTGACATCAAACCAGACATCACTGATATCGTTGCGCCCCCGCAGTGCTGAAACAAGACCTGGGAGTTCACAGTTGTCACGGTTTGCCGAACACTCTGAACATCCAGTCGCATGGAGTTCTGCTGGGACTGCAGAAAAATTGGTATGCTGAAGCTCACGTAAATCTTTCTGTTGCACAAGTATCAAATGCATAGGCAACCACTTATAGATCTTTATTAGACGAAGTTCAATTATTGTATCACATGTCATGAAAGTTAAGTCTTTACCTGTGTTGTTTAATTGTTCGTTCTTAATCGATCTTGTATGCCTGCATGTTGCGTTATGGGGTTGTATTGCATAAAGTTTAAATATTGAGGGATTTTCATTTGGTAGATAGCTGCCTTGCAATATATAGTGTAGAGGGAAAACGGTTAGAAGATTCTATCCTATATAGCTGACTCATTTTCCAAATTTTTAATCCCATCCAGATAGCTCAACTTTTGTATAAATGGCCTTATAAGTAGTTCTTCTCTGTTACGCCTGCAGGGAGTGACACCAGCCAAGAATGATGGGTTTTCACTTACTTCTGGAGACTTTCCAACTCTTGGTTCAGGAAAAGAAAGTTCTGGAAAGAATGGTATTTTTTTTTTCCCAAACCATCTTTGTTCCTTCGCTTTTTGAGGGTCTCTCATCCTCTTCACCTTGTATTGATTTTACTATCATCAATAAAGGTTTCTCAGTTTATTATAAAAAAAAAGTTTGTGTTTTACATGTGTTGTACATTGGAATTAGTATGCTTTGCTTTATTTGTTTGATTCTTTCCATAGCTATATTTTTCTGCAGTCTCTTTTCCTATGTCACATTCTGTTGCATGGTTGCATGTGCTTATTATCAAGACAGGATAATTGTTCTAGGCTTCTAGCTGTCTGGAATTGAATTATTTTCTTTTATAACACACCGGATTGGTTATGTACTCTTAGTACTTACCAAAGGACAAGGAATGATGCTAAATTGATAATTTGAATAAATGGATGTTGAAGCTTTTAAGAATCTGGGTTTTTCGAACTGTAGTAAGTTTGCTGATTTGCTTTTAGGCTTACTATTTTGCAGCTGCTGATAGATAAGTCGGCATAATATGTTAACCTCATCCCCCTTTGGAAGTGTATAATACTAACTGCTATTAGGCTTTAGTAGAGGTACAAGGGCCTGCCAATTTTTTTTTTTTTTAAACAATTACACTCACCTCCCCTCATATGAGTTGTTTCAGCTCTGAAGGTTTTCTGGAAATCTTGTTTACTAGTGAAGGAGAACTACTAATTTTAATTAAAAGTTCTTTTCAGTAAAAATTGGACAAACAAATTAATAAATGAAAGTTTGGTGGACAATGATGACAATATTGATATCTGGTACACAAGTTTGTAATTCGATGTGTGTGTGTGTGTGTTGTATTTTTTGTTTTGTTTTGTTTTGTTTTGTTTTTTTTTTTGTTTTTTTGTTTTGATAAGAAGATTGTGTTCCATTAGTTACATATGCTGTAATTGTTATGTGTATAAGAAAAATGAACGCAAAGAAGATGGCTCTGAAAGGCAATCATTATCCTGAGTGTGCTAAGGTGATATAATGTTAAAACTGCTAGTAAATTGTTAAGCTATTCTCTGTTTTTGAATTCTTGATATGCTTTTGATGACAGGGTCGAGTTCTCACAGCCGTCCGAGCTCATCCTCCAGTGGAGTGGGAACTGGAAAGGAGAGGATTGAGGCTCCTGCAAGTGGTCAGTGTTTGTGCTTTCAGTTCTAATTTCTTATGTCAGAATGGAGCAATCTTCCGCCTTATTATTAGCCGTCTACAGCGTCATTCTTGGAACAGTAAATTATGTTTTCTTGTTCTTATTCAGGTGATATGTCTGCTAGTGAAAATTTTAAAAATGGTACAGCAAATTCTTGGAAAAGAGATGATCCATCATACGGTGAAGATGGAGGTAGACCAGGCATGGAGAAGTGGCAAGGGAATCCTCAAACTTACCCTGCCCCTCCACAGAATTATGATGCTTGGCATGGTACGCCAATGAATAATCCTCAAGGTGGTGTTTGGTTTAGAGGACCGCCTCCATATGGAAATCCCGTTGCTCCGGCTGGCTTTCCCATGGAACCGTATTCCTATTACCGTCCGCAGATTCCAGCTACTGGTATTCCCAACCCACAGCCAGTTCCCCCTCCTGGAGCTGGACCAAGAGGACCTCATCCTAAAAATGGGGATATGTACAGACCTCATATGCCAGATGCTTACGTTCGACCAGGTATGCCAATTAGGCCTGGTTTTTATCCTGGTCCAGTAGCCTATGAGGGTTACTACGGTCCTCCCATGGGCTATTGCAGTTCAAATGAACGAGATGTGCCATTTATGGGAATGGCAGCTGGTCCTGCGGTCTATAACAGGTACTCAGGCCAAGGTGCCCCTGAGCCTGGAAATTCCCATGGCAGATATGCTAACAACCAGAGCCAGATAGGAGAACAGTTAGAATCTGGTCAACCTCAGGATAATCGAGGGCCATACAAGGTCCTTTTGAAGCAGCATGATGGTTGGGATAGAAGAAACGAGGAACATAGGAGAGAGGGTGCTGTAACCAACAATTCATCGAGGGGAGACCAACTGAGAATATCTTCCTGGGAAAATGATTGGAGATCAGATTGCAAGAAGGATGTGGAGAGCAATACAAGGAAAGAACCTTCTGATGAAGCTTCTTTTGAGACTTTTGACAACCATGGTCCTCCTTCAGTTCCTGTCAAAGTGAAGTCCCCTGAAGGTGGTGGAAACGGTAAGGCTGTCGATGACATTTCTGAGAAGAAATTGGAAAGTGAATCCTCTGGTGGGTCGAAAGCTTCACAACCACATGCAACTGCCCCAAAAGATTCCAGTCTGATCAAGAAGATAGAAGGATTGAATGCAAAAGTACGGGCTTCTGATGGGCGTAGTGAAACCATGACTGTTTCCAGCGGTGAAAATCAAAGAAATAAATTTCAAGCTAATGCTAAAGCTAACCAGAATACCAATGAAGCTGGTCGTGGTCCCTCGTATTCTGAGAGAACTCATACCGCTGAAATTACCCACCCCATCTCTCATGAAGTAGGCATTTCTCGTGGAGATAAAAACTTTGATTCAACAGCTGGCACCGGAACAAACATTTCCAGGTTGGTTATGAGTTGCAGGTTTCCTCTGAAAATGTATCTGCTATTGGAAAAATGCTGATATGCTTAAATACAGGAGATCAACTCATGGCATGCAATCCAGAGGTGATCATTATGGTAGAGGAAGATTGAAAACACAAGAGGCTGAGGGCTGGCAAAAAAAGCCTTCAATTCCAGAGCCAACAGCTGCGGTGTCAGCTGTGCATTCAGAAACTTCTATTCTTCACTTGCACGATCACCATGGATCTACTGAGGCGACAGATAATTTAGGTTCACATTCTCATGGCAAGCTTGAGGGACAATCTGTGTCACCGATGTTTGAGCAAAGTGACAACCATGCACAGGTATATATATTAATTTGTATGCCTCCTAGTTTTTCTACATCTGAAATTTACATGGTACATTTGGGATTGCCTATCAGCGAGCTAAGATTAAGGAGCTAGCCAAGCAACGAACCAAGCAACTACAAGAGGAAGAGGAGGAGAGGAGTAAGAAGCAGATGGCCAAGGCTCGGGCAAAGTTAGAAGAATTGAACAGGCGGACTCAAGCAGTTGAAGGGTCAACTGAGAAGCTAGAAAATGCTTCTACTGGTGCTGTCCAGACCAAGCAAGAAGAATCTGAGACTTCCAGTGAATCATCAGTCGGTGCCAGGAGATATGGGCCCCCAAAGTCTGCTTCAAAGTCTGCTTTGGGTTCTAAGTCAAATGTAGTTGCTGAGGTTAATGTGAGCTACAGCACTGGAGTTGAAAACCCCTGTTTACCAAGCAGTCAAGTACCTTCAGAGGCTCCAAAGAGTGCCACTGGGGAACCTCTAATGATGCAGGCTCAATCTGCACCCTTGCAGCAAGAGGTTAATGGTGCCAACACTGTCCACAATAATGCTCCTCAAGTTCATGAAAGTAATGTCTCTAAGCAAAAGCGTACAGGTTTTAAACAAAAGCAGTCCACCAATGTAACTGAGGCGCCCAGAACTCACACAGATGTAGAAGATAATGCTACTGCATCTGTTGGAGTTGTAGCCAATGAAGTTCACCCAAGTGGTGGCTCAACCTTGCCCGTAAATTCAAATGCCAGTGCTGACTCCTCTCTGCATCCAAGAAGGAAGAGCAAGAATACTAAGAACAAGCACAAAACCGAAGATATATCTGCTTTATCATCAATAGGATCAAAAGAAAACGTTGCAAATGTTTCTCAGGAAAGTGGTCCTCCAAAGGCATCCGAACGTCAGTTAGATCCTACTGCGGCAGTTCAGATGCAGAACATTCCTAGAGGTGTTGATCGGTCTTCAGAGCAACATCCATCTTCACCAAATGAAGACTCCCACGGTAGAGTAAACAGCCATTGGAAACCTCAGCAGTCTCGCAGGATGCCAAGAAATTCACAAAACAGTAGAACTGCTGAAAAGTTTTATGGTAGTGATACTGCTGTTTGGGCACCAGTTCGATCCCACAACAAAGCTGAGGCCACTGATGAAGCCAGCCCTAAGAACACGGTGGATGGTGTTGGTCCTTCTGTGAAGTCCGATAATGTGCAGATTAATCCAAAAAATAAGAGGGCAGAGATGGAGAGGTATGTTCCAAAACCTGTAGCAAAAGAAATGGCGCAGCAAGGAGGTAGTAATCATCAGCCTGTGGCTTCTGTAATCAATCAGACTACAACCGATGACTCTATTCCAAGGGCAGGTATTGGTTCTCAAGGTAATGAAAGTTCTAATAATGTTGGCACGGTTCTTGGGAAGGCAGAGTTTTCTGTGGAGTCTCGGAATGGGAATAACAGGCACAATAAGCAGGGAAAAGTACATGGATCATGGCGGCAGCGGGGATCAACAGAATTAACCAGCACACAAGGTTTGCAAGATGGAGCATCATATGCCTCAAATGTCAATCAGAATGTGCAAAAATCAAATGAGCTTCCCCATCCTCAGAAAGCTGATGTAAGCTCGGTGAAAGAGCAGGAGAATTATTCCAAAGAGCAGGAGAATTTTTCCGATGAATGGAGAACCACTGATGACTGGGGTGTTTCACACAACTTGAACTCTGTTGAACCTGTCTCAGTACCAATCGTAAAAGATCAGGGAGTTACTTCCCGAGGAAAGCGACATGCATTTAAGGGACACAAAGGCATGGCGAATAATCGTGATGATGATCAAAAGAGAAGCAGTGGGGACACTGACAGAAGTCACACTCAATCTTCAACCTCTGAGACGACTCAGGTAGACTTGCCTGCCTCTTCAAAAGAAAATCGCGGTGTTGTTGAACATCCAACGTCTCATTGGCAACCTAAATCTCAGGCTCTCTCAGCCAATAATCATGGGGGAAACAGAAACAATTCTGGTCAAAATGTTGGTGCTGAGGCCAACAGAGTAGAGTCCATCCAGCATGATGGGGTGTTACCTCAGCCAACACATGCGAAAGATATTAATGAGTCGTCAGGTCAGCTTATTCATGATCAGTCAATTTCTGAAGGAAACAATGGCGTGGAAGAACCAATTCACAGGCACCAAGAGTCTAGGAGAGAGAGAAAAACAGCTTCACTCAAGGGACAACCCCACTTGCCAAACCAAGGTCCTACTGATCCAGTTGAACCTGCACCAGTGAATTTGGAAACTAGACAGGAGCAGCGCTCATTGTCAGGATTCCGCAGAAGTGGAAGCCAGAACAACCGTTACAGCAGAAGTCAAGAGTCTCGTGGAGATTGGAATTTCTCTGGACAAGATAACAAGCAACATAACCCACATCCAAACAGAGAGAGACCAAGGCAAAATTCCCATTATGAATACCAGCCAGTTGGGTCATACAACAACAAATCCAACAATTCTGAAGGACCCAAAGACAGTGCCGATAGTGCTGGTGCGAGGACCCGGGGTAGAGGCCAGAACCACTCGAGACGTGGCGGGGGAAACTTTTACGGACGGCAAAGTGGCGTTCGGGAAGATGCTGGCTATGATTAGTGGGAGCATAAGAAAATTTCTTAAGACGATCTGGTTTTGGTGATAAAACCCCACTTCCATTATTTAGTAGTTGACCCCTATTTCCAGGTACTCTAGAAATGATATGCCCCTGTTGAATTTTTCGATGTCGATATTTGTGAAATCAGAAGGCGACTGATGAGTTTTGTGCAATGAGCAGGGTGGTGGCAAAGTTGATGATGATTGGCGAAAAAGCAGATTTCCTAGTGTTTGGTGGTACTTGGATGCGTTATATTTTTTAAATTTTTAACAGATGTATCTGATATCAGACATTGTGATTGGTCCCGGCTTGTTTCCTGTGGAACCCTTTTGACATGTTTGTTCGAGCCTTGTATTTAGTGACACGCTTATTCCTCTTACTTTACAGAGGTGAATGAAATAGAGAAAAGTTTTCTAGTTCTCTCAAATCTGTTGTGTTAATGTCTATTTTAGACTATAGGTTTACTTGGTTGATGTCTATTTGCCAACCCTTAAAAATGTCCATTCCTCTAAAATCACACACTCTCCATGTAAATCCTCAAGTGATTGAATAGAGATCGGTATTAATGAATTCGATAATTATTCTTTCATTTTATTGTATGCGTCTTGTTCTGTCATTGTTGTTGGTTGTATTCTATTTAGATGCTATCGTGGAATGCTTACCTTTGCTTTTCACCAGGGAAATGAGATTATGATGCATCAAAAAGGAGAGAAACAGAAAAATGTTAGAATATGAGCAGTAGAGCATCTCTCATATAGTAATTTCATGGGGGAAAAGAAGGGCTCAAACCAGTGTGGTTTGAACCTTTTGGTTTAAACTATGTTGGTTTGAAAAGTGTGGTTGAAACCTTGAGTTCGAACATCTTAACGGGGTGGTTGGTTCAGAAATTCTGTATTTGTTATGGTTTAAATGTCACATTAAGCGTTCAAATCAGTTTTTGCCTTCTGTGAACAAATACTTTTTTGAACCAAAACCATAGGTTCACCCCACTTGGACCCTCCATGATTAAGAGCTTCAAATGGCATATGTACGGCATACATACCTATAAAGACCACGTTGAGTCGGGACTTTTTCCGTTTTGGCAACTTGCATAAGTAGTGCCCAAAGGCAAAAGTGTTGACACAGAACCTGGGGTCTCCACATGCTCTGCGAGCTCGAACGGCATTGGCGCATTCATCAATGTCTGAAATATCGAGAGAGAAAATTTGTTTTCTTTAGAAATATATATATATATATATATATAATGTGTGTGTGTATATATATATATATGGCTTACTTACTCAAGTACTGTATTAAATGTATGTATATATATATATAATGTGTGTGTGTGTATATATATATATATGGCTTACTTACTCAAGTACTGTATTTGTTTTAAACTTGTTGAATACGGATCGTAGTGTTCCATCATGGAAAAATGCAGGCATAGTTGGCATAAAAACAACATAAAACGCACTTTCTATTTTGTTTTTACTGTATATCTTAGAAGATAAATTAATGCTATTTGACCTTTCTTCAAAAGCAGAGAGAGAGCATTATTGACACTGATCTTCTACAAATTTTGTGTCACGTACCCATTAGACTAAAATAAACAGTTTTTGAGATTAGATTTTGGGTTTTTGACGTTATTAGCACCTGAACTATTATAGTATTGTGCCGGTTTAGGTATTTTAAAAAAATTCTGGCTAATTAACTCCTAATTGGTTTTTGATAAATTTGATCCCTAATCATAAAATTAAAGATGATTTGTTAAAATTTCATGAAGGTAATTTCAACTTGAAATTATATAAATACAGTCACATAAATAGAAGCAAAACATATCTTTAATACATATTCGGACCTCCACTTAGTTTCACACAAACTTCATCCTGGTTATAGATAGATCATCCAGATTCGGGTTCATAAGCAGTGACAATTTTTGCTACTACTCCGGTTGGGTCGCTTAACCAAGCCATTGCTTATAAGTCGTTGACTCATTCTTCAATAGGCACGCGGTCAGAGCTCTGGGCTTCTCCCACTGCTTGGGAGCTAACGCTTTCATGTTCTATTTTACTCCCTGATTGGGGGCTTTTCACTATTCTCTCACAGTACTACTTCATTATCAGTCACTTAAGAGTATTTAGACTTGCAAGGTGGTCGCTGATTCACACGGATTCTACATGTTTTGGCATTCTCGTTTAAATATAGGTCAGCTGTTTGTGATGGTTCCCAAAGATCGAATATGATCACTAAAATCTACATTGAAAACGCTTAAAAATTAGAATGTTTTACACATTAAAGAAATTTCCTTTTAAACTTTCAAACTTTGATGTAATGAGCACGTGACCATGCTTCCATTAAATTTCAAGAATCGCTTATCAAATACTTTTAAAATCTACTATTTATTTAATTTTATTTCATAAATCTTCTACAGTAAATATTATTAACCTTTCCTATCACAATCCTAATAGCCTAATTCAAGATCCGGCCCAACCCAATGAATCCAACTTCATTAGTGGGCCTAAATAAAAAAAGCCCAATAGTTCCTCTGTTTTCCTCTTCGGCTCTTCTGCCACCACATGTATTTCGAGCCCATTTGGTTAGAAGATCTCTGATTTAAAGTATCGTTTATAATTTATTATAATATTTTTTTTTATAAAAAATACACATAAATTAAAAATAATTTTAATCTCATAATTTTAATCTATAAATTAAACCCGCGGTGGTCGTCGTTGTGTCGTTGTCGTGTTTCAACCGCCTGCCTTTACGGCTTTATTACCTTACCCTCTCCTCCTCTCTGCCTCGTTGCCATTCACCGTTGAATACCAAACTTCTAATTTCTCCCTAAAAAAAATTAGAAAAATTAAAAAATTAAAAAATTAAAAAATTAAAAAAGTTCTCTATATAAACCCTAGAAATTCAGCAGCCAGACTTTTCCCCCTTTTCCTTCACTTTCTCTCTCTATCCTCTCTCTCTCTCTCTCTCTCTCTCTCTCTCCTGTTGAGAAATTTTCAGTTTGGGAATTGAAGATAAGACAGCTCGTTTTTCTTATCCTAAACTTCATGATTCGATGAGGTGAAACGCTTATGTCTTCACGTTTACGGGTTAGTCTGAAATTCGCTTTGAAGTTCTCTTAATTCATTTTCGTCCTGAATCTCAGTTCGTGGAATTTTTCTTCGTTCGTATGTGATTTATTAGAAGTCTTTCTGACCTATTTGTGCTTGAATGTTTTGGAAAGCTTTTGCTTGGTTGCTGAGAAATTCCGGGAAAGTTAAACGGGAACGATTTTATGCTAATGTTTAGGATTTGAGCTCACATTTGGGCAAAGTTTTTAAGCTTTTATTATTTGTTTTCCTTGAATTAAAATATGGGATTATTAGGGGAAGAAAAACGAACAGAATTTGGTGAATTTCTTGGGTTATATATTGTCTAAAAGTGTGTAATTTTTGCTATATTCTAGAGTATTTGTTGTGGTGAATTTGGTTTCTTCTGGTTTCCTTTGTTTATTGCAATTATTTTTTAGGATTCCTTAGTCTGAGAACAAGTAATTCCATACTGTTGCTTTCGTCTTTTATCCCTTTTTGGAGTAGTATTTTGTAAAAATAAAAAATAAAAAATGAAAAATTGGTTTTTGTTATTCCTAACTGTTGCGTACGTGCTGCATTGGTATTTGTTGAATTCTTATTGTTTTGTTATCTAGATTCTTCTGGGTTGATGATTGGCGGTTAAACTTAAGGCGGAGATAATGGCTTTGGTCACTCATCAAATGCAGGTACTTTATGACATTGGAATATCATACATGATTATTACGTCTATATGGAGATTATTTCCCGCTTAAATTTCTATTAATTTACCACGTCACTAGCTCGTTGCGCTGCACTTATGCTTTTTATGAACCTTTGTACACATGGAGAACTTCTAATTTCTAGATCGGTATTAATTGAACAACTAAGGGGGATGGTGACATGGACCAGTTTTTATAGCTCCTATGTAAGGATTAGTGCCTGTGCACGGGATAGAGAAAATTTTGATTGCTTGATCGGTGTTTGGACACCAATCTTCAGCTACAATATGTGTTAATGTTAAATGGAATCTTCCACTTGGTAGTTGCATTGCTTAGCCTGAGCCTGTGATCCTTGGGGAGTGAAACTGAATTATGTTTGTTTTGGATATGCATCTGTGCCTTGCTTCCCTATAGTGTTTATTTAAACATGAAGATGCTGCTGGGATTGAAGTTGCAGCAGATTTTTATGCTTCATCTTACTTAGTAAACTCAGGAAAATAGTGTTGAAGACCGTAGAATCCTATCATCCATGTGGAATCTGTGTAAAAAACCTGATTTTTATCTTATTGCCAATCCTAGAAAGCAAAAATACTTGGTTTTTCTCGTTTAATGAACATTTGTAAGCAAAATTTCACGTTTTTCTTCCTCTTTTTTTTTAGTACTTTTATGTTTCAAAGTTTCTTCATGTTTGTTGCCATGTGAAACTGTGCCTTTATTCTGATATATTTGAAGGCCATAGTTTTTCTCAATTTAATTGGATTTCATTGATTTTCCCCTCTTTTTCCCTTTACTATTTTCCAGGGTTCTTATGTAACATTACCCTCAAGACCCTTACCATGGATCAAGGGAGTCAAATGGAAGAGATATGTAACAACAGTTCACGTGGCTGCGAGAACAGATAGGCCTTTTTTACTGAAGGGGAATATTTGTTTAAGGTGGGAAATATTCCATCCTCTGTTGTTTCTTCCTTTAAATTGAGGATACATGAAGTACTTTTTTCTTTTGCACCTGTCTGTTTTTGAAAAATGTAATATAAAGTTCTTTGCTTCTGTAGTGGCCAAAATCCCAACGCTGCCACTTTCATGTCATGAAACCCTTTTATGCATGCTTGCAGACTCATACACACAAATAATGTTACTCATTTTAGTTTTATCACGATGAAATGGATTCAGAAAACTTATGCCACAGTGTAGGGGCTTCTTGTGTACGCAGACCAAAACTTAAAGCTTTGCGAATTTCAGCCTTTAAAGGTAGTGCTCAAAATGGCGAACCTGGAGGAAGAGCAAGTGGATCAAAGACTGCCAAGAACTCAATCAAATTAAAAGAGAGTGAGGGTGCCATAACAGAATCTACCCAGGCAAATGAGATTTCACTTTCCTACACCGCTGAGGCAAATGAGAGTGTCGGGCCATCCCCTGCTATTCACGAACTATTTAAAAAATGGTTGACAAACTTGCGCACACAATCCTCAGGTGCTGCAGTGGATGAAATTTTAGAAGAGGAACCATCTCCAAGAGAGATGTCAGAAACTGAACTTGCGACTAAGAACAAGGAAAGAAGTGTGATTCTAAAGGCAGTTTGGAGCCATTTTCTGGGTCTGGATGCAACAATTAAGATACCCTTGCTGATTTTGTGAGTAAAATGTTGTCTGCTGCTTCTCTCTCTCTCTCTCTCTCTCTCTCTCTCTCTCTCTCAACAGTTAGTCCACGTTTTTTTGCAAGATTTTATTGTGAATCTTTCAACAAACTTAAGGGATCTCCAGACAGGTAGTCCGGGTGAAGAAAATAATCGTGTTGGTTGTAGCTTTGAGATATTATCTAGGAGGGGTACCCATAAGTTAGATTAAAAGACTGGAGAATGGTCTACAACTTTGGCTTCATTCCCTTCCTATACTTAAATGAGTCGTGTTTAGTTTCTAGGAATTGGAAGATGTGCACTCCTTCATTCAGTCAAGTTTCTTATGTGAACTGGTTTTTTCTGTTTTCATCCGCTCATTGTTGGTGTTTCTACTATTTATTATATCCCAAGAAAAGTGATTAAATAATTACATGTGGAAAGGAAAATGGGTATAGGAGCCAGTAGTGTGTCACGAATTTATTAACTAGAGCCTTGTTTTTGGTGGGTTGGGCACGCAGTACTCCTGCCTTTTGTCTTGTGTAACTAACTTGGGAAGTCTTCAAAATTGTATCTATTTATCATGTCTATAAACTCTAGATGCAAGATTGTGACAGTTTTCTATTCACTTTTTTTATGCTTATAATTCATCTTCTTAATCTGCAGCATCCCTTTCTACCTGGCAGTTAATGTGATATATGGGGCTGAAGTTTCAAAGGAGTTGACTCCGTTGTGGGTTGTCGGGCCTGTTATTGTAGTTCTTTACATAAAGATGCTTCGGTGGTTATTTGCACTCTATGTCTTCTCCTTCAGGCAGACGGTAAAAGTCATCAAGAACTTACCCGTGTACTACAGCTACCTTGTCCAAGGAAAGCTTAAGGAGGAGTTCCGTTCTCGCTTTTGGCAACCTGTAGTAAATATTAAAAACCTGAACTACAAAGAGTTTTCCAAAACAAAGCTGAAAGAATTGCAAGTATGGCTGGTGGAGAGGTACCTTGACTTTGTGGAGTCGATATGGCCATATTATTGCAGAACAATAAGGTTTCTAAAGAGGGCCAATCTCATTTAGATTTTGGAGAGTGTATTAAGAGAGGTCTTCAGTCAGATAGGGGCCGAATTGAGTGGCTTCTGATGGTGACTGTTGGAGGAAGTTTGACATTTATAGAGACAGCTAGCCAACCCGTTTTTGCAATGGGGTTCTTCGTATCTTGAGCTAGTTAGAGAAAAAATGATTATGCAGAGTTGTCTGATTTCTATAATTTTTTTTCATAAGGCAGTAAATTTATTTTTGGATGAGGTTGGTATCAATTTATTTCTGTTGTATTTAGCTTTTATTGTTTATGACCCCTTAATGAGATAGAACGATTGGAAATCGATTCAGCAGTAGAGTTTTGATGTTCCCAAGTCTAGTCTCAAAAGTACATGTTTCCATTATCTACTATTTTTTTCACCATATAAGGTCTGTTGCAGGGTTTTTTTTTTTTTTTTTTTTTTTTTTTTTTTTTCCATTTCTTATTATGTGATTGATTCTTTTGCATCCCTTTCTTTCCCAATGTGCATTCCTTTGTCATATGAGAAACTTTATGGGCCTAGAAAGGATAAGAATAACTTGCAAGCTAAGATACGCCTTCTTTAGCTTGTGGTCCCCTTTTTCCTTTTTCTCTTCAATTTGGGTATGTTCTATTCGTGGGTTTAAGTTGAGAACTTGAGTTGAAAAATAGATTTATATGTGAGAGAACACTGTAATATAAAAAATTAAATTTAAGTTTTTACAAGAGAAAATATTGTAGTAAAAATTTTGAGTCGTGATTTAAATTGTGAAACACTTTTTATTGCTAATGAAACTAGTAATTTACCATGAAATTCTAAACATGCAGACTCATAAGTCATATGCTTGTAAAAGAACAAGAGCCAAGAAAAAAGGCTTGGCTTCAGGGAAAAAAAGGATAATTAAATAAAAATGAACTTTTGGAAGAAAACAAAGAGAACCAAGGAAAAGAAAAGGAACATACAGGGTAAGGTGATATAAGATGAGAATTTTATGGCAGGGAATGAAAACACAAAATTTAGGAAAGCGATTTTGACGGTAAAAATTTGTATTTCATTGTCAGAGAATTCTTCAAAACATAGAATATAAAAGAAGAGAGTTTCGCTGCTGACAGGATTGAAAAAATGTATTATCGGTAGTTTTTTATTTTTTAACTGTTAGAGGTATATTAAAAATGATTTGTTCTGCATATTTTTTTAATATGATGTGATTTTAATAAGATTTAACGGTTAGAAATTAACACTATTAGTAAGCCGGCCTACCATAGAAGTCCCTATATAGAAAATAAATCCTTGCAAATTATCGGTCCTTCTATGGTAGGCCTTCTATCAAATCATTAAGATCTTATTAAAATCACTCAAATAAAAGAAAACGCAGAAAAAATAGTCTTTGATACAGACTTGCCGGTTAAAAACAAAAACCTTACTTATAGTTTTATTCTTTCGAATTCTGTCGTAAAAATCTCTTGCAAATTATGAGAAAAAAGGGAATTTCTCTTGTAAGTCTTTAAAAAATAAACTATTAAAAAGTTTATATGTTCAATTGTTGTCTGTTCTACATATTTTTCAGTTTAATATGATTTTGATTAGATTTAATGATTATAAATTAATCTTATCATCCCTATTTTTTTGAGTTTTTACGGTGAAACATGTTATTTTGCTCTACCAATAAGAACTATATTATTGAATTAATTTTTCAACAATTAAATTTATAATAAAAATAGTTTTATATAGTGCGCTATAAATTTTTAGTGTAAATCTTTACAAATTTAATTATTAAAAAATTAAGTTAAAATCTACTATTGATTCACCGAAAAAATTCCCTAACAAAAACTACCCAAAAAACCCAAAAAATAAAAAATAAAAAATAAAAAAATCGTGCTAAGTAGAAGTTGTACAGTAAAAAGGGCACTAGAGACGGAGGAGTAGAATCTAATGTGTCCAAACAAGAAAAGTGCTTAAATGTCAAACATCATTGGTCTTGTGTAGCATTGTTCGTCCAAACAATTCATCCCCTCTCTCTCTCCGACCAACGTACCACCAACAACAAACAAAACTCGCCGTTCTTTTCACTTTTCACTCCTCCTCAAAACAAACGACACACTTCTGAAAATTCCCACCTTAGAATCTCCGAATCCTTTCAGTTCCCTCCGCTTTGGTCGATTATTTGTCGAATTCCTCATCTGGGCATCTATAATTTTCCTTCTACTCTAATGGGTTTGCTAGAATCAATTACCACCATGCGGTTTTGGAGTCTGTGAAAGACTGGGATTTTGGATGCTTTTTCTTTTGCTTTCAGGAATGGCTTTTAGAGTTGGTTCCTCGTTCTCTTGTTTATTATCTGCGGCTCTTTATTCTCCTTCTCACACCAGGAATCGTTTTAAGGTATGGTATGATTCACCTTTGGTTGGTTACTTAGAAAAGAGAAGGAAAGAAAATGCTGTTAATTTTCATGGAAATTCGATGTTTCAAAACGTTTAATTTTAGGGATTTTGATTGGTGGGAATTTAAGGCTTGGCTAGATATTGCTTAGTAGTTTTGAATGTTGCCACAAGGGGGAAAAAGAAATTAAAAAAAGGGTAAAAAAAGAACAATTTTGATGGCATTAGTTGAGCAAACCTATACTAGATTTCTTTTGTGTAGTTATAGCTCAAGTGAAGTGAAATGTTTGTAGCTTTGTTCTATGCATGTGTATAAGCCTTTTACTGTGCATTTAGATTTTTTTTTTTTGAGCCGTTTTTCTTTGTTTGAAAAGATAGATCACACATAGGGATTCTGCTGAATATCTCAAAATCTATAACGGCTGTTATTTAGCATGAAAAAAAACTGGTTGTTGTTAGAGAATTGTCAGTGTATCAGTGATGGAATTTTAGATTGGAATGTTGGAATTGATGAAGAATTATATATAGTCTGGAAATTTCCTTTTGGAGACAATCTGTCAAAGTGTACTTTTAACCTTTAAGGGAAGGGCGAAATGGAACAAACTAAGTTGTCTATGAGTAGACGCTTTTGATTAAAGTTTAGGTTGGCTAGCTTCCCATATCGTTTACCAAATATATATGTTAAGGATTGACATTAGTTGTGAATCTTTTTACATAGATAAAGAAATAAAACTTCATTAGAACAATCACAAAGTACACTACAAAGAACGCCAGCAACAAGGCCGGGGGTCGTGAAGTCCTCCAACAAAAGCGAAAAAAAAGCAATCTATCTGACATTTTGAAATTACAAAAATCTTTATCCTCAAACGACCATATCGCAACCCAAATCACTTGCTCCCGATGTTCACTTTCCGAACAAATAAGGTCTTCTAAAATCCTCTTATTTCGTTCTAACCAAGGTGCCCAACATAGCCCCAATCTGGAAAAGTTCCAAATTATTCTACCTTTCTCATTGAAGCATATAAGGGGAGAAGAGACAAACATATATGCACATCTCAAAGGCGCCTCCCAACACAACCCAAATCTCTCTCCCTCTCTTTTTGAAACTGACAATGAATCTTGTAACTAAAATAGGCTCTTGGATCAGTAGCCAAAAACAAAAAAACAAAAAACAAAAAATTTCTAGGCTCTTGGATGAAATAACATGAAAAATGATGGTAAAATCTAGCGTTCTGCTGATTGCAAATGCTTGTGTTAGGGTGTAATTGAAAATGGAAATTCAAATTTGATAAGTAGTTTCTTCTACAACTTTAGTTATTAGTAGGGCAGTTGTATTTATATTGGTACTCTGAGCTTCAGGGGTTTGTTGATGCACAGTAGCGCATACAAATCCCATACTGCGCTCTATTGCAGGTTAATTGCCAACACAGAGGCTCCCTAATACAATAAACTAATGCACAAATGATTTTCTAGATTAGAATTTTCAATTGTCATCTTTCTACTTCATGCCATTTACAATCATGATCTAAGAATACTGAAACTGGGCTTTTATGGAGAGGTCCATCTTTAGCTCATGTAAATTTATTTATTTATTTATGTCCAGCTGAACTTATCACAAAGATCATACAATGACCTGCAACATGAAGCTAGCCTGCGAAGATATGCTAGAGGTGATTTCTCATATTTGTTGTCATATTCACAAAAATGGCAAATGTTAGCTTAGGTAGTCCAAATTTATTTCTCCAGAAGGTACTTGGTAGGGTTGACAGGTATCAAGATTAAGTGGGACAAAGGAGTTTCAGGGCTTAAATCAAATAGAACAAATACTTCTGAGTTCTGACTTAATCTGTAAACATAAAGCAAGTGACTTTTGAGTTATGTACTAATATGGCTTTCTTTACTTCGTTGCAAGTTCCCAATTGATAAATTGTCTGTATTTATCTGGGTACTTCTTCCGTTGTTATGAGTAGATAAGTCATGCAAATTCATCCATGGAATACTGTACTCAAGGGTAAGGTCACCGAAGTGGCACGGTACTCTCTTTGCAGTTTCTGAAGATCAGTCACTACATGATGAGATAACATTAGTTGCTTCAGAGCAAGAAAATAACTTTCCTAACACTGAAGATATATCAACTGCCAGCAGTTCAAATTTCCATTTTGACGGTGCCGGCGGAAGACCTGGTTTTATCTCTTTCTATAACCGTCCGTACAAAAGAGACGATGAAGCCCACATGGCTAGCTCAGAGGGGAATCCTAACAACTTCTTGTGGTTTCTTGGTCCGGCAGTACTTGTGGCCTCTTTTCTATTTCCCTCCCTTTATTTGCGCAGAGTGCTCTCTGCTGTATTTGAGGACTCTTTGTTGACAGGTGAGAGTACTTTCATTGCTTTACACTGCTTTGGGAAGTTGCAATTTTCATGTCCTGATTTTTCAATTGAGACACTTACTAGTAACAAAATCAAATCAGAAATTATGTCATCTTCATTGATGTTTGCATAGATCTTGCTAACTTCTGTTGTCCTAAATCCCGTTGGATCAATAATTCGAAATTTTTTTTGGTTGAATTATCAGATTTCCTCATATTGTTCTTCACGGAAGCTCTTTTCTACTGTGGCGTTGCTGTGTTTCTTCTTCTGATTGACCATTTAAGGAGGCCTACGGTACTAGATTCTGCTGTAAATACAAGCAACTCCACGACCCCCCAACTGGGACAGAGAATCTCATCCGTCGCTGCTCTGGTACTTAGTCTTATAATTCCCATGGTGACAATGGGCTTGGTCTGGCCTTGGACTGGTCCTGCAGCATCTGCCACTCTCGCACCATACCTAGTTGGCATAGTTGTCCAATTTGCATTTGAGCAGTATGCAAGATATACAAAGTCCCCGTCATGGCCCGTTATCCCGATAATCTTTCAGGTAAGGACAGTTTTCTCTTTTTCAGCGTCCTTGTTTAATATTGACTTTGTTTCGTCATCTAAATTTGCACCCATTTGAGAACTATAAATCATAGAGTTTCTTTCATGCTTGACAGGTGTACAGATTGCACCAACTGAACAGAGCAGCCCAACTGGTAACAGCTCTGTCGTTTACGGTCAGAGGCGCCGAGATGACATCGCATAACTTGGCAATAAACAGTTCCCTTGGAACGCTTTTGAATGTCCTTCAGTGTCTTGGGGTTATCTGCATTTGGTCTCTTTCAAGCTTCCTCATGAGATTTTTCCCTTCAAATGCAGTTTCTGCTCAATGAAGCGTAAACTTCACACAATAAGTGGTAAAACTACTGCAAAGTATAATTCACACTTCACAGTCCGTACTCTTTTTTTTAGTTTGTCATGTTTTAGGTGGCAGTTTAAAAGCAAATTGGTAATGAAGCATTTTGACTTGTTTAAAGCTAGTTACAAAGATTGTCCCGGATTTTTGTATACGGAGGAGATACCACTAAATGCAGGAAAGCAAGGCTTTTTTTTTTTTCCTTTTTTTTTTTTTTTTCATGTGCTTTCTTGCAAGTGAATACCGGTTGTAGATTAATTATTTTCTGCCACAGACTATCCACTGTGTTGGAAAATGAGCAATAAATTTTGTTGGGATGTTTCAATTAATTATTATTCCCAGTTCAGATTTGTCTGCTAAAAATTCAAGCAAGACACTGAGGATTGAGGAAGGGCTGGATGACAAGGGTGTTTTGGTAATATCAATTCGCCTCTATGCATGAAATACAAGTGAAACATTTGAAATTTAATGGGGGTAATCGCATGCTCATTATGTAATAACTTACATATCCACCAGTCAAGCACCATGCGAAAGAACAAGAAGATGTAGGACAATTTTTCTCACTTTTTACCTTCAACTCACAACCCAAAAAAAAAAAAAAAAAAAAAAATTCCAAAAAAAAAAGGGGGG